CGAACCATATTAATGTAAACATTTACTGTAGATTAATTGTATTTTGGCTGATGTATTTATAGGATATCTGGCCAATTTCTACTACCTGTGCAAGCAACTGAAAACAACAAGAATTATGTACACATATTGGAATTGTTTATAGCTGCGTATAAGAAAATGAAATAAAATTGTACATCTAGAATATTTTTCCGCACGGGGATTATTCGCTTAATGTACTCAGCTACAATCCAATTATATAAAATGATGTGACCTTCCATCTGTAAATGCAAACGGATTACAACAGGCATTGTCGGAGTTTTTCTCTCTTAATGCGCAGATTGTTTGCTTGCCAATTTGCATTGCCAACAGCAACAAAGCAAACTCGCATTGTTGCTCATGCAAATGTTTATCGTCAACTGCTGCGGGCTGTGTGCTCTCATATTAACTTGATTGTTGACTTCTAATTTTAATGTGGCTAACTTTAGAAAGCCATCAAAATTGGCTATTTGATGAGTGCATTTGTGTGGCTGCAATTCAACCGAATGATAAACATTTCAAGCCTCATCCTTAAATCAAAGAACGAAAAAGTAGCGCAAAGGCAGAGCCTAGATTGCAAGAATGTCCCACAGAGTGACAAGATGACACTGTGAAAGACGCACATGACATGTACGTCCCACTTCAGCTCCATCTTAAGGCTGACACTGAGCAATGTGCGCAAGTGTCGGGCCAACATTACTCGTCCTCTGATAATGTCCCTTGGGCATGCAATGTGAATGTGTCTCCTTGAGCAACCGACGACATCATCATTACGCAGCACACCAGGCACCAGGCAGTGACAGCTGCTTTTCTATCAGAGGCGCCTCGATTTGTTTCGTTTTTAGCTGGCGGAAGCGATTGAACCACAAAATGGCGAAGCATATTCCACGCCGACAGACAACTGTCAGCCAAATCAGACTCGTTGCAGGGAGCACGTTTTGCCTGGTTTCTTGTTAATGATGATGACAGCAAAAGGTGTTTGCCTCTTTGTGTTGCTGTCGTTGCTGATGTTGCTGCTGTTTTTAACAACAACCACTTGGCCAACCTTACCTTTTCAGCGCTCATCTGTGGCGATAACAAAGTCAACATATGTCACTTCTTTCTCTCTCTCTCTCTCTCTTTCTTTCATTTTCTCTACTATTTGCTGCGAAGTTTGTGCCACAAGTGGAAACAAACACTGCAAGAGGCGACATGTTTTTGTCAGCGTGTCAAGCGGTCGAGCTCACAGCACGAGTACAAAATACAAAAATACAATTATATATTGTGCAGAGTGGGGTATGTGGATGCCCCTGATATGGTTTGAAATACGTCAAGAAATTGTCGCAGATAGTTCGTGTTCGTGCCTTGATGAAGCGATATGGCTTTGCATGCTTGTTGGACTTGTCAGTTGCCACATAATACACAAGGGCCACATTTCTGTAGGCGACTATTGTAAATAAACTGTAAACATATTCTATTTAGTCTAAGTAAATTTGAAAGATACATATAAGTTAACATTCCATTGGCAACTGTCGAGTTCACAGAAGTCTATTATCTGGTAAGTATTAATTTGACAGAGAAAAGAAATAACTAAGTATTTGTCGATGATGCATATTTATTTATATTAATTTACAAAATCTACTACAATAGAAGAATCTTATTTGCAGCAGGCACTCTGCATATGTGCTGTTTTGTATATTATGCTCCCCATAATCTAATATACATTTGAGGAAATGTATTTTCTGTAACGTCCAAATGTGTGGCTAATTACGCTAAGCATGGACAAAAATGGAACAAACCTCCACCCCCAGTCAACGACATGCCAAGTGACCGCAAATGGACAACGCGCGATCTAAGTGTCGCAAAAGTGCCTCAACAATTATTATGACAGCAGATAACCATCGTACATACACAGACACGACAGGTCACAAACACAGAATCAAACATAGAAGCACTTGACGGTTGATTATTTTCAGCTGCACGCACTGCGTATACGTAATGTGATGCTTGCTTTAAATGGAATGTGACTTGGCTCAAGCTAAACTCAGCAACTGCTATTAAATCTTGATATACATAATTTCCTTAGCCTTCCAGCCTTCATTTCATCCGCCTGTTTCATGTCACCAGGTTGCCCATGTTAGTGTAATTCACCTGGTTTTTATTGTTATGTCAAATACAACTTATATGGAAATATTCCTGAAGCCGTTCACTTTGTTGTTGTATTTATACCCTGAACCCATTAAAAATGGGTATAAGGGTATATTGTATTTGTGCAAAATCCAAATGTATGTAACAGGCTGAAGGAAGCATCTCCGACCCCATAATGTATATTCTTGATCAGCATCAATAGCCGAGTCGATCTAACCATGTCCGTCTGTCTGTCCGTCCGTCCGTCCGTATGTATGAACGCAAGGATCTCAGAACAAATAAGAGCTATAGACTTGAAATTTAGGTGCTCCTAGTGCCTGCGCAGATCGAGTTTGTTTCCGATAACTTACTCCGTTTCCAAACAATCGATAAAAATCGATATCCATATCCTGTTTTTTGGGCAATTTTGGTAAATAATAAGAGCTAGAGTCCCCAAACTTGACATATAGCTTTTAAAATAGAATATATATATGCATTTGATGTTGGAAGAAGAGGGTTCAGGGTATCCCCTAGTCGGGAGCTCCCGACTAGAACCTCTTACTTGTTTTATATTGTTTATTATGCTTATGTTATTATTACAGCTGTGTAGGCTATTGGTCTGTTTCTTTGTACCAACGTAGCCAAGACAAAACAACATACATAGAATGCCCACGCGCTGATGAATTGACAGATAATTAAATATGCCAAAATGCCAACTGACGGGCTGAACGTAACGCAACGTTCTACATGTGGGTGGATGGCTTTAAGGTTGAATGGCAGTTGGACATATTGGCAGCATGACATTACAGCTGGCACCGCATGAGCCATAGAGAGAGAGAGAGAGATAGAGAGAGAGAGAGAGGAGAGAGAGATAGAAAGAGAGAGGGAAGGATAAGGGAAATGATATGAGACAAGTTAGGACTTGTGTACAAAGCGAGATTTGCATATTGATGCATGTGGCAATTGCTTGCAAATGAATTGCTTTTAATATAAATTTGCAACAGCTGCAAATGTTGATTGATTTTGAGGATATACACGACAAATACAATGAGCTGATCAGGCCTAATCAGTTCCAATTCGTTTGTTTCCCTTCACATTCATAGATATTCAAAACAACATGTCCTAGATTAAGAAGTTTAACTTTTAACGTTATAAAAAAAAAGCAAACTAACAGGAGTTATCTAGTCGGTTATTTAGCCTTCACTTTGCTCCACACTAAGTTAAATGTTAAAATTTAAATTGGATTGTCCTAGGAAAGTTATCCAAAAATTCCCAATTTATGTACAGCTAACTCTTATAATGCTTAACTCTGCTGGGAATGGTCTTGACCTAGAATATATACTTAACGTGGTGCTGCCTTCTGCCTGTTTAATGGATTTCCACAAAACCAAACAATTTTTAATGGGTTCAGGCTATAATTAGTTTTATGTGTAGAGTAGTTTACTTAAGAGTGTGTGTGTTGACTTATACTTTATACATTTTTAAAATTGTTATAATTTTTGTAATAGCTGGTCTATAGGTCGATTATTTTGTTCAATAAGAGAATTTTATTGCTCTGTTTTTCCACATACCTTGCTGCATGACTAAATGAGCTATAAATACATATTACGGGTAACACAGTGCGTAATTATAAAAAAAAAAAACAGAAATACTTACTTGTCAGTCGGTTTAAATAAATTTAATTATATAGTTGATTTTTGTATTCGAAATTTTGTATGTTTATGTTATTTTGTCGATTTTCGAATCACGATTTTGTTTTTCACTTGAATTCTGTTTTCAATTGAACTGATACACAAACGGGCTGTTTATGAAATCAACATGCTGTTCAAGGCATATACAAACTTTTTGTAGACTTTTTTTTAGAGTACATACACATACATGCACACACATGCATACACACTCGTAGAAAGCAACTTAATTAGGAGCCAGAAAAGCGAATCCGACAGTTGCAGACTTTGATGCTTGAGTTATTTTAGCATTTAATTAAAATATTGCTCATACGCCATGTTAACCGCATGCACATTATAAAGGAGGTTAAATTCATATGCGCATAATTGTGCGTAAAAACCCGTATGATGTGCGACCGTATCGTCCGTTGGCCTGTTATTTCAGTATGTTAAACAAGCGGGAGCCACGCGAAAAATGAATTCACGGCTCCAAAAGCGAGGCACGCCATTATACTATTCGTATGTAAAGTTTTGTGGCCCACACAGGAGGTGCAAGTGCAAGTAGTTAATTTCACTAAAACAAAAAACCAAAAAAAAATATTATAGTAGTTATTCACCTTATAAGAACGTAATCTGCAATGCTAATAATATTTTTATACAGTTGCGAATGGTTATCATAAAATGCCCGACGTCTTGCAGAGGGCAAAGGCGAGCCTATACCGCTCAATGTATTGTTATTGTATTATTTCATTGTTTTTGTGCTAATGTTAAATTTATAAAAAAATATTGTTTTTAGAACTGTAAATAAATAAATGTATTCAAAACGTTTCGCCTATTTCTGCAGTAGAAAATAATACAACAAACTCATATAGTCTATTCAAATATTTGGTAAGGGTATGTGTTCTGCGGCATATAAAAACAAGCTATTTTCTCATTTAATTTCACTGCAGATGGCTAAAACAACAAGTTTTGGCTCTTTTATTTTGTTGTCTGTAAGCTAAGCACATAAAAAACTCACACACACACATTCAAGTACCAACATCCACACACGAAAACACACGCACACGCATGGTCCGTTGCCGTTTTATTTATTGGCTCACTTCGATTTTTGCTATTTTTACATGCCTTTGACACAGGGCAAGCAATCATTATAACACCGGATAGTTATTTGTAGTTGTTACGTTATTCTATTGTTGTTATTGCTATGCTTACGTTAAACCCGTCACTCGCTACGTCGAGCCGTTCAATAATATAACGCCGCCTTGCGTTACGTTGCGTTGCTGACAAAAGCCGCAAAATAACTGAAAGCTCGTACGCAGCGGTTAACGGGAAAATGCTCGAGTGAACATAAGCAGCAACTGCGACAGCGACTGAAGCAGCGCTGCTTTCAATTGACGTTTGACGTTAACGGAGTTTGCGCAGTTTGATCAAAACAAATTTAACACTTATGTGGTGCTCAGCGCTCCAAGTTAGACGATACTGAAAATATAAAAATTAAAAGATATTTCACAAAATAATTTTGATCAAAATAACAAAACACTTTTTTAAGCTAAATATAATCTAAATGTAGATTTATTCGATCAAGTTTAATTCTAATCTGTAGAATATGTCGATAATATTATCTCGGATTTGCTGATTTGATGACGGTTTTGCAAATGGATTTCATTTAAATGAAAAGAAAAACCGTTTTTATATTTATACAAGAAGTTGATTGTACATTTATTTGTGTTTGTTGTTTTTATATTATATTTTTTATTTATTATTATTTTCTTAACTACTTTTAATATTTTTATTTGCATATTTGATTTAAATTCTGACAGCCAGATGACTTACCGCTTTTACAAAAAGTTTCTGTCAAAAAAAATGTGCATAAATTATTATCAGCGGGCAACAAATTGACCTACGTGTATTGTGTGCCAAGTAAATTAAATATTAAATTTAATATTCCATTACCTACGAAACATTAAAACATTTAACAGAAGTTGTTTGGGATAACGAAAATATTGCAGCTTATTTAAAGTATGCTACAGCGCTGGGCGAAAAAAATCAAAACCCGCATTAGTGCAGCAAAGCAAAAGAACGCAAACTATCTGTGACCATTTGTTAACATACTTTAGGAGCATCCACTATCCACATTCTACATAATATAGTATTATACCTCCTGCTGTGCACTCGACCGCTTGACACGCTGACAAACACATGTCGCCTCTGCGAGTTGCCTGTCCCCACATGTGGCACAAGCGTCGCAGCGAATAGTAGAGAGAGATGTGACATATGATGACGTTGGCATACAGATGCGCGCTGAAAATGTCAAGTTGGAGGCAAACAGACAAACCTTTTGCTGTCATCATCATTAACAAGAAACCAGGCAAAACGTGCTCCCTGCAACGAGTCTGATTTGGCTGACAGTTGTCTATCGGCGCGGAATATGCTTCGCCATTTTGTGGTTCAATCGCTTCCGCCAGCTAAAAACGAAAGAAATGGAGGTGCCTCTGATAGGAGCGCAGCTGATACTGCATGGTGCGGCAAGTCAGGTGGCACGGGTCTGCTGCATAATGACGATGTCGTCGGGTGCTCCGGAGGCAGGGGGTCAGCACATTCGCATTGCATACCCAAAGGACACAATACGGAGGACGACTAATGTTGGCCCGACACTTGCGCATATTGCTCAGTGTCAGCCCCGAGATGGAGCTGAAGTGGGATGTTCGTGTCTTATGCGTCTATCACAGTGTCATTTTGTCACTCTGTCAGTCAGTGGCATTCTATGTGGGACAGTCTTGCAATCTAGGCCCTGCCTTTGAGCTACTTTTGCATTCTGTGATTTAAGGATGAGGCTTGAAATGTTTATCTTTGACCCTTGCACTCAGTTTCGGCTGCTTTGCAGCCACACAAATGAACTCATATTTGATGAGCCAATTTGCCAACCGTTGGTGTTTTTGATGGCTATCTGAAGTTAGCCACATTAAAATTGGAAGTCAGCAATCAAGTTAAAATGAGAGCACACAGCCCGCAGCAGTTGACGATAAACATTTGCATGAGCAACAATGCGAGTTTGCTTTGTTGCTGTTGGCAATGCAAATTGGCAAGCAAACAATCTGCGCATTAAGAGAGAAAAACTCCGACAATGCCTGTTGTAATCCGTTTGCATTTACAGATGGAAGGTCACATCATTTTATATCATTGGATTGTAGCTGAGTACATTAAGCGAATAATCCCCGTGCGGAAAAATATTGTGTGGGCGTAATAGCATTCTAGATGTACAATTTTATTTCATTTTCTTATACGCAGCTATAAACAATTCCAATTTGTGTACACAATTCTTGTTGTTTTCAGTTGCTTGCACAGGTAGTAGAAATTGGCCAGATATCCTATAAATACATCAGCCAAAATACAATTAATCTACAGTAAATGTTTACATTAATATGGTTCGACTACATTGAGGTATCATACACAATATGATCAGAAACAGCGGTGCTCATAAGAAAAATAAAGTTTTAGATTTATTTGAATTCTAATTCAGTTCTAATTGAGACACCATTTGCTTCATCTGCACCATAAATACCAGCTCCATCTGCACAAGGTTCAATAAAATCATTAAGTGCCATATCGATCCGAAATTCTTCGTCAACAAAATTGTTGCACTGCGCTTACCCTCACCAGCAACTACTCAGGTGAATTTGACTGAACTCCATGAAGAACGTTTATCATTTTAACAACCGGCAATTCGGGGATTGATTGCAAGCGATTTAAACACCCAAGCAATTTCCTTCCCCTTTCTCATGAAACAACTAACAAACCTGTTATTTCCAATGCCCAACCGAACAGTCAGTACTCTAATGAACAGGAAACGAAAAGCCAGATTTCAAGATTGATGTGAATTTAAAACGAAAAATACAATTCATTCTCAGTAGCTGGCTGAAGAGTCTAAGGCTCTGAAAGCGATTGGAAGGAGCATCAGAGAAACTTGCTCCTCCCCGTGTGGGCATTTGGCAGGTGCGAAACTGACAGACATCCTCTGAGAGAAAGAGACTAAGAGCAGGAGGGCTGGGGAGACTGTGAAAAGAATTTTCATGCGAAAGCCAAAATCAGTTGTGGCAAAAGTTTAAGCCTCGCAACCACGTCGCAGCACCAATTGGATTTCCATGTTCAGCGGGAGGACTACCCGCAAGGGGCTAGGTGAGAAATTGAAATCATTTCTCAGTGTCAGGTTGAATATGAAAACCTGCCGCTTATACTTTTCGCATTCGCATAACAGATTGTATTGCATTTATGTCCATTGTGCGAGAGACTTCCATTCTGTTGCCTCTTTTCTTGAATTGAGAATTCTCAATTGTGAATGGCATTGGCATTGGGACTTGACAGAAGGATTTCTGGCTTCAATTGGACTCAGAAGGGCATACAATAAATGGATTTGCCGGATAATAAGCAGACAGAGGATAAGAAGGCCCAACAGGTTGGCCAGGTGATTTAAAGATAAGCTGCGAATTTTCCCTCTAGCTTGTCGACTGTTTATAATCTAGTTATTACCTATGTATAATTAATTAGCTCTGATTCTTATTAAATTATAAATTTAAATGGGCCAAGAAAAAATCATTATCCCCCAACAGGCATCCCCAAGTCGAGCTGATGCCAATGACATTGTTGGCTGTGTGAAATGAAGAATCCCGTCAACTGAGTGGCGGGGGGTTGACTTTGATTTTATTATATAGCCGAGACCCATTGTCAACTCAGCTATAGTAAAGAGCTCATTTCTTGCCTCTCGAGGTCAGAGACCCGGATTTGTCTGGTCCTAGCTTTGCAAATTTACTTTATGCTTTGTGGCATATTTAAGTGATTTAACAATGTGAGGAAAGAAGCTTAAGGTATGAAGCCATAAATCAATGTTATCGAAAATTCAACTAATCAATAAGAAATTAGAAGGTTTTGATTGATAGATGGAGAAGTGCTGGTAACATATTTTGAGTTTCAAATCATCTTCACAGTTATCTTCAGCCCTTCATTTTTATGCTCGGTATTCAAAGGCAAACTTTATTCTTTTCAGACTCGGGTATCGAACGACTTGCATATCATTTGTTAATTCGCCCGCCTGCTTTGTCATATTTGTTATGATGTTATTGTTTCCTCTGTTTTCCCGTAACTCAATTCAAGTTTTCTGTTTATAAATTTGCATATCATCAAAACGGATATAACAGCAGGCAACTGGTAATAAGAGGAAAGAAAATATCTGTGGTCTCTCCTATGGGTTTATCCATTGCCTTTGGCCAGCTTGTGAGAGTCATACAAATGCCAAGGAAGTAAATTTGAATTTCGACGTGTCTCTGCCAGCAAAATTTATGGCTTTTACACAAACACATCCACGCGCTTGTTGTTGTTCTTGGGCACATGTGCCGTATGTGCAAAATTTGCAAAATGCGAATGGCGTTCAGGCGAATTAAAGTTTGGGCTTGATAAAAACGCTTGCATACTTATGGGCGCCACCAACTGGAGCCAGAGAACTAACATTCACGTGATTCTTGCGTCCTGGTCTGAGTGTGGCTCCAACTGCTCACCTGGCTGCACTTTAATTTGCATATTTAATGCCGCCTTGAAGCGGTCTCGACTAGAGCTCATTCAAATCCTGCTAAGGTTCAGTCAAAGTCCATGCCAGTGCCTTCAATATCTTGCAGCCCATTCTGAATCCCCTTCGACTTTCCTTTCATACCACTTGAGTCAACGTGTGGGCTTTAAAGGGATTTTCATATGCAAACCACTTAAGCCGACGGAACAGCCTACAGGCTGGATATAAGATTTGGGAGAACTGGCAAGGCATATCCCAACTATTATTATTGTCGCCTACTGAATAATTCATCCTGGTCGTAAAATTCTGTCCTTCGCTATTTCGGCTGTACGAATGATATTTTAAATATTAAAATGGTTCGACGTTAATAAAAAGTTGAGCTGAAAACTGAACTACAACTATAATCACAAGCGCCCCTAGCTCCATGTGCCAGCTGAGGGGCCCATTTGGAAGCGCGCCAACTGCCTTCGCGTTTCTTTATTTCAGTCCTACTATTTCCCTCACAATTACAATTATGTCCCATTGTATGCTCATCACCGGCTGCTGCGGCAAATTCGGGCCCCAATAAAAGTCTGGGCCAGACACCCGCCCCTGTGACTCGAGTATCAGTTCCATAGTGCACACTTTAAGAGAACAACTAACGGCTGAGCGTGGCATGGGAAGGGGAATGTTTTAGATGCTAAGTCAAGTGGCTTAAATAGATTATTGAATTGGACTTTCTTTATTTAGTGTGAGAGTGAGATGTTCACAAGTGTTTTAAAACATTCATTTCTTATTCCCCAAATAAGCAAAATTAATGCAATATTAAAGCTATCTAAATTACTCAATACCCTGCTTGAGTCTGTAAAACGGCGCAGTCAGACAGCTGTGGGGTCAGACGATCTTCTTTGAGGTCTCGCATAAAAAGTGCCAAATGCCTCGA